GATGCTCTTATCATTTTCTTTTTGTGTGTTCTAAGAGAGAGCAGAAACTGTCTATAATAATTATTGTCCCAAATACTTTCAACCAATTCATTAGCCATTTTTATGGTGTTCATTGTTAATATGCTTTAGATGTTTATGTACTAAGGTGTACTATGAGAAAGTAGTAAAAATTATAAGTTCTGCAAGAGGAATGTGGTTGTGAATCCATGTTGGGCTATCTTTTAAAAGACCACCACTTTGTTTGCCACTGTCAAATAAGGTAAGCTTGGCTTGAATCATTTTATATGAAGAACCTCTATAATCTTAAAACTTTGCCGACAATTAGATTTATTTAAAATGATGGTTTTATCAACAAAAATTTTTAATGTCAATAGGAGTTTTTTTTTTGTGAGTGCCTAGATGCATTTTTATAGCACTGAGATCACTTAAGTGGTAAGTCATTCTTCTGTTGATAGTTGTCATGGAAACTCAATGTAGATAATTGCTTTATGACAAGAGATGCAGTCCTGTACATAATAAAAATTGATAAGATTTTTCTTATTTGTCACATTCAATGAAGCATATATATCAACACTGAGTGGCCACAGTCTGTTTCAAAAAAAATTTCGCGAAATTTTTTTTGTGATTCCAAAAAAAATTTCACTTGAAGATGGAACAGTGCTTACTTTAACTCAATTTAATTCAAATAATTATATTGAAGTTTTCAATCTTGTTTTGAAACATGAGACCTCTTATGTCGCAAGGAATCATATTTTTAAATCAATAATTATATTTTATGCTCTACTTTTGTATTGAGCACTATTTTTTTAAAAATAATAACTAAATAATAAAGAACTTTGGATTATTTACCTAACCAGTTCCTTCCTATTTTCTATATATTTTCACATATTATATATTATATATATATATATATATATATATATATATATATATTAATAAATATACATATTTTTTAATCACTGGTAGCATGAATCAGAATTTTATGCACAATGCAATCTTCAGATGCTGAGCTAAGATTACTTTGTGCATGAAACTCTGAGTTGTGCTACCAGTGAGGAAAATATGTTATTTGTTCTGTTACAGTGCATCAAGCACTATTTTATTAGCACCAGTACTCAATGTGCAATATATATATATATATATATATATATATATATATATACACATTTTCACACACACACACACACACACACACACACACACACACACACACACACACACACACACACATATATATATATATATATATATATATATATATATATATATATGTACATACATATTTTTTCCTCATTGGTAGCACAACTCTGAGTTTTATGCACAATGCAATTTGCCAGTAGTGCTACAGGTGAAGTAACAAATGTATATCTATTATTAATATATAGGTCTGTTATTATACAGCAACCTCTATTTTATTAAGACCATCACTCAATTTGCAATATTATATATATATATATATATATATATATATATATAGTTTTTAGGTATACAATATTTATAGCTAAAATGTTCAATATCAGGGATAGAGTGTATGTAAATATAATAGTGGGCACTGAGGTCAATACTGAGTGTCGATAGTCTGTTTCATGCTTGAATGAAATCTTCAGGCCAGTATATATATATATATATATATATATCAATAGATATTCATATATATATATATATATATATATATATATATGAACATCTATTGGCTCATTGATTGATGGTTTGTTTTTTACATCTTGTGGTAATAAAATAAGCACATTCCATTTCCCCTCTCGCTTGTAATCATACACTATAATAACATAAACGTTTTCAGTGCTAAAGCTGAATTAATCACATAAAGCTTCATAAGCTCCTACTTAGAATTGCTGCTATATTACACAGCTTATCAACCTTTTGGAGGTTATTTAAAGCCAGAAAATATTTTTAGATTTTAAGAATATTCTGGAGATAATAATGATTTATTGAACAAATCCTACTAATTAACCCATAGCTAATGTGGAGAAGAGGTAGATTCATATTTTTTCCTAGGTGGAAATGAGAAATCTGAGAGAAGAGTTCAGATTCAATTGAGTTGGTTACATTCACTTACACATATATACCCTTGGGAAAGGTATGAATCTGTATTTTCACCTTTTCAGCTATGGGTTAAATAGCAGGACAGACTGGGCCCTATAACATTGGTTGGCAACCAGTCTATAAGAAGGAAAACTCTGAATTCAAACCAGCTTAGAGAGGGTTTGGCTCTGTCAGGCTATCTTGCACACTACTGATGCTACAACTGCAGTACATATTGGGGTCCTACAATCCTACCCTGGTTTATGAAACTTGTGATAATGATCATGACAGATTTGTGGATGACCTTTTATACTCACAAAGCATTAACCTAAAATTTGAGTCATGTTCTTAAATTCAGATCGAGATTTTCATATGGATGTCATACATGGTACAAAACCTGTACAGAAATATCTAAACTGTTAACTGTATACAACTCCTTTCTAAGATCAATGGTTAAAAATGGCTTTGAGTGAATGAAGCCTGTAGATCTTAGTGAGAGCCATCCTTCTTTGATCTTTGTGGACTGGAGCTAAAAATCCAAAAACAAAGAACTGTACCAAATATTAGAAAACATTTCATTTGAGGACTTTCAACAACAGCAAGAACTAAAATGGATGGGATAAAAACTGGCTGATTACATTCAATGCCTTGAAGACCAAGCTAGTTAGATTCCATCATTGCTGATTGAACCCTAAGCTACCACCAATCAGGATGAACGGATGTCCACTGAAGGAGGCACCACACCTTGAAAGATTATTGGGCCTCAAACTCACACCTGACCTCAAGTGGAACTCATACATATGATCACTTGCTAAGGATGCAGGTAAAATGATCAGCTCCTTGTACCACTCCAGTAAGTACCTGACTTCTCCTGCTATCTTCTACCATTACAAGAGCCAGATCAGGCCAAAAATGGAGTACTGTTGCCATATTTGGGCAGAAGCTGCCCAGACCTCACTCTCCAGTTTTGATAGTGTCCAAAAGCATCTCCAAGCCCTTGTGGGTAACAAATTATTCTCCACACTCCAACCTCTCTCCCACAGGTGGGATGTAGCAAGCCTATCGCTGCTCTACTGCTATTTCCATGGAAAGTGCTCAGATGAACTACATTCCCTGGTCCCACCAATTCAAACTTTCATGGCAATGACATGCTATGTCACTTACATAATAGCAAACTGTCTACATTTTTTCCGTATTCCATTGGTGAGAAGTAAGTTCCACTTGAACAGCTTCTTCCCTCAAATCTCTGCTTTGTGGAACTGACTTCCTAAAGGATGTTTCCCTGATTCTTACAATCTTAAGCTGTTCAAGGTTAAGGTTAACCATTATCTTCCACTCCTATCTGCATAAATTGCCTCTTAACATAACTCTCTTCCTTGAGTGGCCCCCAGGCCTTGTAAAGGGTGAACCTTACTGTAAAAAAACAAACTTTCTACTTCAAACAAAAGGTTAGGAAGGAAACCCCCATCAATAGCAATAACAGTGAACATGAGAAAACTATTTTCCTGAAAAATTGTTTTAAGTGAAAGATTTTATAAATTTCAAGTGAAAGCAGCACTGTTTGCTTGGTCAATGAATGACAAATGTTTCCTTATAAGAAAACAGCTAATATTAACATTACCATATATATATATATATATATTTATATATATATATGAAGAAATATAGTTTTAAGGTGTGCTATATTTATGGATAAAGTGCTCAATATCAGAGATAGAGCATATATAAAAATAAATATAAAAGTGAACATTGAAGTCAACACTCAGGCGATAGGCTGTTTGATGCTAGACACAATTGTCAGGTGGCCTGACGATCGCGTCTAGCATGAAACTGCCTATCGTTCACTTTTATATATATATATATAGATGCATATATGAGGGTTTTCCACTTGCTATATGAGGACAGATACCAACTTGACCATCCATGGAAGATAAGTTGTTGAATATTGTGCTTGAAGTTGTGGATAATATGAAAATATGAACTTTGGACAGTTTATCCACAACTCTGAGCATAATATTCAATATCTTATTCAAAAATTGAAAAAATACAATAAAAAAATTAAACAAAAGACCTTATTGGTTCTTTTTAATCAAATTTGTTTGAATAGATAGATAGATAGATAGATAGATAGATAGATAGATAGATAGATAGATAGATAGATAATGAACAGAATGAGATAGATAGATAGATAGATAGATAGATAGATAGATAGATAGATAGATAGATAGATAATGAACAAAATGCGATAGAAAATGAACAGAATATGATAGATAGATAGATAGATAGATAGATAGATAGATAGATAGATAGATAGATAGATGTGAATGTAGTATAGTTGTCAGTGCAGAAAATGTGATCAGTATTTACAAGTTCAAAGGTATGAATCCAGCTATGGGTTAAATAGGAGGGCAGACGGGTCTCTCTAGATTTGCTTCACAACCAGGCTAAGAGTAGGAAAACTCCAAATTCATATCTGAGGAGACTTTGTAGCACACTGTGTTCCATTTCTCTGTTATCTGTTCTTCCAAAAATTATGGCTGATTCTACACGAACCTTCACCAGTATAATCAAATTATATATAGTCTAGTGGTTTAGTTGTAAAACAAACTGAGCTGTTAGGTTCTCGTACATCAAAATGACTGTAGAGTCCACCCTGTATATCTGTGTTTAAAAGTATGCACACTCTTTTGAAATAATTTGCAATTTTTGTAACATATTTTTTAACTTGATTTAACATATATTTTGTTGACAAATGAAACTGAGAGAAAAAGTATTTATTTCCCTTCATTTTCCTTTTTTTTCCAATTTTCTTTCTGTTTCTTTTACTGTCATTTTCATTCTAGACTTCCAATAAACTTCATTATTTTCTCTTTACCTCTGCTTCTATCATTTCCTCCTATCATGTTTTTCTTTTCTTTTTATCCTGTCTTTCAATATTGCCTTTACCTTTTTCTTTCATGGTATTATGTTCCTATTTCTTTTTAACTTCCTATATTTTTTTCTTTTCTCCAATCTCTTCTCTATTTTTTTTCTCTTTCTTTCCTCTTCATTTTCTATTTTTCTTTCTCCTTTTCTACTCTTTTACTCTTTCTATATTTTTCTTTTGTATTTTCTCACACTATTTTTGTATTTATTTTCTATTTCTTTTTGTTCCTCATTTTTTTTACATTCCCCTGTAGATCTACCCTTTGATGTTTTTCTCTCATCTAGGTATTTTACCCTTCCCAGATTTTCCAACTTTTTCCTTTCCCTACTATCCTGGTTATTCTTTTCTTTTTTTTTTTTATTCTTTTATCATTGCCTCCACTTTTTGCTAAATATTTCCAGTCATGTTGGGATGTAGATACAAAATATTTTTATGAAATAATTTAAAAACAATTGTGTATTTTCAGATGATTTTCAGTGTATCTTTTTGATAAATAAATTAAATTAGGTTTCTTTAATATTTCCTTTTTCATCTTTTTTCTTCAGTCACACTCTTTCCTCCTCCCATACATTTCTTTCATACTTTGGTTGTATCTTTTTCTCCTTCCTTATTTAGGTATGTTTTCTTATTCTTCCTTTTTTTTTTTTTAACCTTCTCATTTTGCATATTTCCTTCCCATTTGCTTATAATTTCTTTTTTCTTTTTCTTATTTTTCATCCTTCTCTGTTTTCTAACTTCCCATTCCCTATTCTTTTATTCATTTTCTTCTTTCCAGGCTTCTTTTCATTGATTCTTACTTCATTGGTTTTTCTTCTTCTTTTCTTAATTATGTCTATTTTTTTTACATTTTTTTTCTATCTTATTTTTTGTCTTTTCTTCATCCAAATCCTTTTCTGTCTTTGCTATTTTCTCTTTCTCTCTGACTCCTTTTTTTACTCTTTCTTTTTTCTTCCTTCTCCACTCTTTTCTTTTTAGTTTTTACATGTGTTCTCTTTTTCTTCTTTCACTCACTCTTCTGTTATTTCTCTTTTTGTCTTAAATTCTGTATTCCTCCTTTAATTCTCTGCTTTTTTTTTCACATTTCTCTCACTTTCACTCTCCCTTCAATCACTTTTCTCCTTTTGTTTTGCTCTACTGTCCTTATGTTCCTCCCTCTCTTTCTTTTCTTCTTTCTCTTAGCTTTACTTTTTCTCCTAGTGTCTCTTTAGCTTCTTTTTCCTTTTACATTATAAAGGAAACTAAACAGTAGAACCGAGACAATAAACAATTCCTTGATAATTGTACACTGTTGACATGGGTCACATTAGCAGCAGTTATAAACCCTTCTGTATAAACCTTTCATTCTTTTTCCAATATTTCATTCTCTTTCTATCACTTTAAAAAAATTCTTTTTATTATTGTTGTTGTTAATAATAATAATAACTTTTTAATGGTAGCAAACTCATTTAGGCATTACCACCATCACAAAGTACCTTTTTCAATATTTTAAAAGGAGAATGGACCAACTTCTTTTTAGCAATCAGTGCCCCCCTCCCCGAAAACCAGTATTTCAATGCTACAGATAATAAAAACAGGCTCATCACCCTAGCCTTTAAAGTTATCCATCACCAACCTGAACCTGGTCATGGAACTAACGGTGCTGGTGTAGGCTGAGAGTATTGGAGGTGTTGAAGAGGTGGGGCCCCGACTTACCATCATCAACTGCAACCTCACAGCAGCAGTAGCAGCAGCAGTTTTCGTTAGTAGTAGTGCCATTTGGATGTGGAAGGTGGGGAGGTAAGTAGGTAGGTAGGCTGGTTAGGGACGGTGGGAGATGAATAGTGGTGTTGTCACATTGATGGTGACATTCTATATAAAGAGGATCAAAACGCGGGTTTGTTTTTCTTACACCAGCCGATCTAAGCACTGGTCATATGGACTAGAATAGTAGCAGGACGATCCGTCTTCTCCAAGAGAATTTATATTCTTATTTTCCTTAACTCTCTAACCAATGGGTCATTACCATAACCATCCGAGTCTACCTACAGTCTTCTTCACCTTCGTCACTTACCGCAGCACTAACAAGGCTTTCATCTTCTCTATGCAACCTTTGATGCTGTGTTGGAGCCTAGTATTGCTCCTGTTTGCCCAAAACAGTGATGCACAACCTGGCTACCTTACCGTGGAACCATCACAACAACAAGCGGTCACAGTAGTAGACAGTAAAAAACCTGTTAAAGCAATCGGTCCAGAGATTTTTACGACTTCATCTTTGCCAGCCGCTTCGCCGGCCGGCATGGTCACCTCCATTACAGACCTGGCCGTACAAGAGCAGGACACATTTGATAACAAACTTGCAATAAGTACATCACAGTCCTTTCCTGAACAATTTCAGCAGTCATATTCCCAACCGAGGACTAAGCAGGCTATTAGTTTCTCAAAAGTTTCTTCACCACAATATTTATCCAAATCTAGGGCCAATAGCCTTAATGTTAGACCTCAGGGAAGTCTCCCTACTTTTCCGGAGGAGGAAGAAAAAATATTTCCCGAATTGTTACCTGTGGTTACGTTAGTGGAGAAGTTACAAAGTCAAGTTTTAGATTTACAAAGAATGCGACTCGAAGACAGGTGAGTGTTGTTTAGTTCTCTTTATACTTTATTATTTATCTGTTTATATTTTTTCTAGCAAGTTTGTTTATTTTCTTATCGTTGTGCGCATGTTTTGATTTTTTTTTCCTTTTCTTAATATTACCTCGCTTTCTTACGGGCACGGACACGCTCATTTTTTTTTTTTTTAAATAAAGAAATTAAACAGGCGTATTTAAGATATTTTAAGGTCTTACAACATAAATATTAAAATATTTTACATTTATTAAAAAAAAGATCTTAACTCAAAGTAAATTACATTTATTTATTTGTTTTATTTATAAAAGTGAATCATGATTTTTAATTTCACTATAAGTTTATTTGCTCTATCATAAAATATTTTATTTTTTATTAATCTTTCTTTCACTTATATGCTCTTTTTCTTTCATTATGTTTTTTTTATTGTCATCTTGTTTTTCTATTTTTTTATTGTTCATTTTTTCAGACACTGGAGTGGAAAAGAACTCCTTCAGTTTCTCTTTCAAAACTGTAAACTTCATTTTTGTTCCTTAACACTTTGTTAAGAAGACTTAAATTAACTTTAAGGAAGGGTATATAAATTTTGGAAAACTCAGTTTTTTTGTGTGTATATTTTACATTTTACAACACATTTTGTAAAAAGCATAAATACTAACATTTTTAAAATAATCTAAAAATCATTCATTTTCTAAATAGTCTTCCCTTTTTAAGGGGCCGTGAGAAAGGAAGACTTTTTTTAAAAACAAAAATAAATAACTTTTCTAAACAAAGTGTATAGAAAAAAAAATTAAAGTAAATATTCTAAGAACTAGAAGACTAATTTAAAATTTGTGTTAACGTGGACATGTGAAACATGTGTTGTGACTTATATTTCCATTATTAACCCGAAAAATAAAAATGTTTAACCGCCGTGACTAAAAAAACTTGTACGACAATTATTTTTTTAAAAAACACTTTTTTTTGGAAACGACATTCAAAATGAAAATTTAATTATTTATTGTCCCAACGTTGGGTCATATTTTTTTAAAAATTAAGAATTTTAATGAAAATAAAAATATACACAGCATTTTTCTAATGTAGAAAAATAAATCCATAAAACAGGAACTTGTGGAGAGCCATGATCTTGATAAAAGACGTTACGTGCATTAAAAGTAAAACAATGAATATTTAATTCTTCTTAATCTTAAATAATCATTTCTTTGTATGAGACATTTTTCGGAAGTAATCTAAGAATGATAAACATTTAAAAGAAAAGGTGAACTAAGTCCGTAATAATACTAAAAAATGTACTCTACCCCCCCAATTTATAATAATAAATTCCTTTTTCATTTTGCGTCAATGCACTTTATAAAGCGCTTCAAGATCAAACATTTTTTTTAGCAGTACAAATTTCAAATAAAATCCAGATGAATGAAGACTACAAACATATTGATCCAGCCTAAAAACAGCAAAACATTTTTATGATCCATGAAGGACTTATGGATGGAGTGTCTGAAAATTTTCACTTGCTGGCAATGTTTTTGATTGCTACAGACAATGACATGCATTTTTTCCTCACAAAAGTACTTTTTAAACTTGTAATTAGAGTGCATGTGTGTTTGTTCTGTGCGATAGATTAAGAACTTAAGAAGTCTCAATTTTGGGATCTACACCATAAATTGCTTAACACACAATTCTTCTTATTTAATGAGAATGTTTGATTCTTCTTTTTCAAGTTTAAGTCAAAAAGATGTTACGAGTTTGAACCAATGTGTGTGAGATGAAATCTAATCTATTGATTCCGTTCTGTTCATTAATCGATATATTTCAACTACTTAATGGTAAAAGTACATTTTATTTTCACGCATGAAAACTTGCTAGCTAGCATTAAAATGCCATTTATTTTAAATGGTAACGAAGACACGGATAATTAATTTCGGTTTAAGTCAAATAGCGTAAGAAGCGTTTTAAAATTAAAATGAAAAATGTTATTTCAACATTACTGTTTGGTTCAATCAATGATTTGTTTTTAAAAAATCCATTAAGGAAGAAGCAGACCACACAGATGAAGTAAGAAAAAAAAGCCGATTAAAATTAATTACACTATCCATTACAAACACTGGAATGAATGGCATTAGTCATGATTATTACGTTAATAAAATAAATGAAAAAAAAATCATGGAACCCTTGAAAATATTTAGTTAATTTTGTAAGTTTAAACCATTAAAATAAAGTTTGGCTATAAAAAGTATTTCATAATTACAAAAAATAAACTTTAAATTTTGAAAATGAAAAAAAAAAAATCTTAAAAGTAAAACTTGATTGAATTGAATGTTTCCCTTCATGGGGAGGGTGAAGCTGAATTTAGGGCCGAATTAGGTTATTGAAATTTTATTCAATGTTTTCTGTCTTGTGTTTGTTTTGAATAAGAAGGCCGAGTAACCTCGGTTGTATTTTCGCAAGTTCAGAATAAGAAATGGGTTTGTAAAAAGAGGAAGCTTGCCACTTGCTAGAAAAAGGGTCTGGGAAATTGAAGTGGAAACTGCAAAAAACTAGGTATGAAGAACTTTTTAACAGAACAGCGACAATGGGTTTTTTTTTACTTGTTAGTTTCTGTAGGGATGAAGCTCGTATTATTTTTTTTTTAACTTGTTATATTTTTTTTTAAATCAATTTTTTCCTTTATTCATCAACAAAATCCACATTTAACATAAGATTAAAAAAATGACTATGACCTGCTAGTCAGAATGAAATCATCATAAAGTTTCATAAACGCTTTTTCCGTTATGCCAAAAATTCTGTTGTAGTAATCAATAAGTCAAGCTTATATTTTTACTTTTTAGACAGGACAAAATATTTTAATGTAATTAATTTTTTTCTTTTTGATAATATCGAATATTAATTTAATTTTTTTAAAGAACATCAAATTTCGTTAAGATTAAAAAAAAAATCTATTCTTTCTTTACTTTTATATCCTCATTAAATTTTTAGATGAAATCAAGCACAACATTGTTTTTTCGTGGTTAGATTTTTTATTGGACTTTTAAGTACAAAAGTAAGGAATAAAAAATATTTTTTGTAAGTTAGTTTACAACACTACAGTTGATTTGAAGATACTGTGTTAAAAAAGAAAAAAAACCTCCTTCCTTCTATTGGCAAATAATGCCTAGATTTGATATATTGAATGATTTTGAACACTAAAAAAATGTATATTCACCTTGTAATGTAACTGAACTATCCTAGTTTTTATTTCTAAAACAAGAATTCTAGCAATAATCTATAATTGGGATTAGTTTTCCCAGATATCAGTTATTTTTTTTATATGGAACTCTTAAAATTTGATTTATCAATCTCACCAAATGTGCTCTACTTGATAGATCACACAAGAATTATTATTGATCTCATTCCTTTTGTTGCTTTTTTGTTACCAGAATGTTTTTGGCTAATCCATTCCATGGTTTTCAGGTGTGCAATCCATATGAAATGACCTTCTATAATTTTGAGATGGGATATCATTCCAAGAATTGTTTTGATTATTGATCTCATTGCCTTCTTTGCTTTTCTTGTTGCCACAATATTTTGGCTAAACCATTCTTTGGCCTTCTTCACGTGTACAATTCATATA